TGTGTGTGTGTGTGTGTGTGTGTTGCAAAGTAAGGAGCGACATATAAAGTTATTAGGATAAAAGAAAAGTGAATTTCAGTTAGAGTCCTTCACTACGGGGAAAAGCTATATAAAAATAAATCTTATTACTTACAATCTACAACTATCGGTACCCCATAGGGTGAGCAGAACAAAACCAAGTGGAGCAAATCTAAACTGAAGCAACAAATAACTTTCCAGATAATATCCTGTTCAGATATATGTGGATAGGATAACTTCTAGCTCTGTCCATATGTCACATTATACAAGGGAGAACTGATAGTGATTGTGTTTATTTGACCAAAGTCAGTTGAGGCAAATCAGATCTTAGAGAAACATTTGTTTTGAATTACTGGACAATTCTAAATTAATCAGATAAGCACAGTTATCTGTATCATTTGTGTAGGTACAATCATTAAATAGACATCTCTGAGCCCAGTAAAAGATAATACACACACACACACACACACACACACACACACACACACACACACAACGTCTTTAACTTATAAGGTCATAACGTAGATCCAGGAGGCCTGAGAGGAAATCTCAGTACTCTTAGGTATTGCATATTACCAGATTTGGGATCGACGTTGTGTTATAGCAAATCTTAAGTGTTGTTTCTTCGAGCTTAGTTAACTTGCCTTGCCTTAAGTTCTTTTGCTATGTGAATGCATGGAAAATATGAGAGAATCCTGAAAGAATTCTTTTGGCAGTGAGAAAATTTTGTTTTTTAATCTGCATTTGTTCATTGCCATCATTATCTACATTTCTCCAGGTTCACATATGAAAATAATTATTCCTCACTTCGGGAAGTCAGCGTTTAAAAAGTCAGTTTGGCTTCAAAGGATTCAGCACCCGTAATAGGGTCAGACGAGCGCGGGAGACAGCTGGCAGGAGCCCAGGCCTGGGGGTAGTCAGTACTTTCCTGGCTAGCTACCTCTTGAAACTTGTGCTAGAGTCCCCTAGAAAGTGTGGCTGTGTCCCATCTGACAAGAGAAGTAAAAATGTCCCTAAGAGCTGGGAATAGACTCACAAATAGAGAACCAAAGTCCCTGTGTACAACTCTATCAGTCCCTCCTGCCGTCAAGACCAAACGCTCCATGCCTCAGTGTGTTACAGGAGATGATCCATGGGAGAAAGGGCCCAGGACAGAGGTGGGGACAGCTGCCTTCTTGCCTCAGATGTGTGACCCTAGACAACTCTTTTAGCCTCTATGAGTTTCTGTTTACTCAGGTGGATGGAGGGCTTCCACTGGATCAGCCTCCCTTTCGAGAAGTATAAAAATCTTATGTCCTTTTTACTGGAGCTTTATCATGATAACTGTAAAATAAATCTTTATCTTAAAGCATCAATTGTAATCAGTGTGGCCAAGCACAGTGGTGCACACCTGTAATCCCAGCACTTTGGAAGGCCAAGGCAGGAGGATCGATTGAACCTAGTGAGACTCTATCTCTTTATTAGAAAAAGAAGAATAAGAGGAAGAAGAAGGAGGAGAAGGAGAGGAAGAAGAAGAAGAAGAAGAAGAAGAAGAAGAAGAAGAAGAAGAAGAAGAAGAAGAAGAAGAAGAAGAAGAAGAGGAAGAATTAGGATCAATGCTATGTTTTACTGAATAAAACAGAAGACATTCACATTTGCACACATGGTAGGAATTAATCTGTTAAAAAAAAAAAGCCCTGTGTCAGTGGTTCCCAAATTGTAGTGGGCAAAAGCATACTTTGAATGGATCATTTAAAATGCCTGGGCCTCTCCTCCCAGCCCATGAAGTTGGAACCACCACTGCTTCATATCTACCAGACTCTGACTTTTGCCTTTAGGATTTTTTGACTTTATCTCAAAAATTCACCTTCCTTAACAAAAAGTGTAGAGTCATTTGTTCCTATTGCAATAGCCCCCTCCTGGCACTCCTGAGACAACCTCCTCACTCCTACTCTCCAAATCACCTGGATAAAATTTCCCTAACATTTAAAAAACCTTAAGAATTGTCATTTTTGCCTTATAGTTTAAGTTCTCAGAAGGCAGAAAGAATGCCTGTGGTTGGTTCTATTTAGTAGTGTTTTTAAAGCTTTTTTTGAACATGATACACACTAAGAAGAACATTTTACATTGCAACTTAGTATGGACATTCTGTGTACATATGTCTTTAGAAAAATTTCACAAAACACTGTCTATCCTTATGCTGTGTCATACACTCTGATGTTTATTATTCACCTCTGTATTTTAAATTTTCCTATTTCTTTCAACAATGGTCTCAGAGTCCACTAATGAGTCCCAGTTCATAGTTTGAAAACATTGCTATAGAGAGTCCAGCCCCCATGTTCAATAACTAAGAAATATTGACGGAATACTCCAAATGCTTTTGGTCATTCCCTCTAACAGCCCCCAACTTCCTCCTCCCTCCCCAGTATATACATTCCATCAGTAGGAGTAGATCAGACACCAACACAGTGGATTCTTCTCCAATACTCTGGTGGTCTTTGTACTCTCCACTTAAAGAACCTCATTAGACTCAGAGTGTTCTTCATGGGAAGTGATTTACATTAAAAAAAAAAAAAAGATCAAAAGACTATTTTCCTTGCACAGTATATTACTTCCTGCAATTCATCAAAATTCTTTTCATGGGTAAAGGTCATTTTCTATTTCTGTATGGTATCTGTGTGTGTTTTGTTGAAAAAGGTGTGGCTCTCAAAACATAAATCAACCCTTACATGTTGACGAAAAAACTCTTGAAATGCTACCAGAGGGAGGTGATGGGAATAACTTGGTGAAAAGAGGTGCAGATGCCATCAGACTTTCCAGAACCATGAACTCAGCCCATCTGACTGCCTAAAGCAGGGAAAGATCCAAATAAAACACCTGGGCAGGTTAATAGGACTCATTTCCTATGAGTTGAAGTACTGCTAAGATAATACTTTAAAAAAAAAAAAAGCAATCTGAATCTGATGTGAACAGAAACAAAATCAGTGTCTGTCCTGGCAACATGGAATTGACCCATTAAGGAAGTCTTAAAGTGGGAAATCAGTGCCCTGTTATTTTTTCTAATGTATTGATTAACAGCTTGGATACGAACCTGATTGTCTAGATTTGAATCCTTGCCCCCACCCCCCAGCTCCCCCTACCAGATGTGTGGCTTTGTGCTAGTTACTTACCTCTCCATGCCACCGTTTCCTCATCTACAAAATATGAAGAGTTCTAGCACCATCCTCAGAGGGTTGCTCTGTTGATTCAGTCAAAATTTGGAAATCACTGAGCACTAGTACCTGATACATGATAAGCACAGTGTAAGTACTTGTTAAATAAATTGTCTAAGTAAAGATTAAAGCATGTCAATACTTCTGCCTTCCAACTTCAGGGCAGGGAAAAATAGAAATTAATTTTAAAAATAAGATTGAAGAAGTCACATCACTCACCATCTTGTCTGCTCATCTATGCACAGATTTGATACCCTGGGTGACAGCGTTTAAATGCCCTCCCCCATGAAAAATAACAAGCCACTAAAAAAGAAAGAGCAAGGAAGAATATCTCCATCCCTAAACTAGGATGGAAAAGGAAACTGTGTGAAAAACATAAAACAGAGCTGTTGGTGATACCTAAAAACCAGACATGGCTGAGAGACCACCCAGTGTCAGCCTAGGAAGAGAGAACCGTGTAAGCCAAAAACCCTATCCCCTGAGCATATCAATGTACTAAACACAATTTGGGGTTAGAACAATGAAAAACTGCATGGGGAAAAATTGTTTTGAAAAAATTATTTGGATAAAGCCTGCAGAAAAAAAGTGACTATATATGCAAAAGTCAACTGAAATTAAAAACTGAGAGAAGGGTTCACCTAAGAGCGGTCCTAGTTAATCAGTTAGAGAGCTCAGAAATGCATCTTTTGTGAGATGTACTCTTTAAAAAAATAAAAATGGAAATGAAAGAGGGAATCTGGACTTATTAAAAAGCACCCTCCAATGCTTTGTTATTATTTCCTAGAAATTTGAATACAGAAGCCTTATGTGCGTATACAGGTATGAATGTGTGTATGTAAGTATGCCTACTAATATCTTTATATTCAATATATTAATATTCAGTGTTTACATATATATGTTTGTGTGCATATACATTTTAAAAAATAATTTCTCCTTTTTTTCTTTTTCAAGTGCTTTAGTATGTGATATTAAGAGGTGAAAATGTCAACTGGAGCCAACTGGCTATACGCATGAAACCAGAAAATAATGCACACTCTAATAAACATAGAAATTATCTACAAATTTGGGCATAAGACCTAGTCCTTAAATATAAGCGGTTGAAACAACTGCAAAAAAGGCCTGAGACTGAGATGGGAGGGAGGGCTCTGAGTTTAGGCTGTGAGCATCATGGGTCACCGGGAGCCACTTTGATGTGAGTAGCAGCTTTGTGAAAAAAGAGCAGAGAAAATGCAGCCCTTGCTGAGACAGGAACCTCTCATTTCTCAGGCTGCATTCTGCCATTGTCCCATGCGTGTCACTCCCACTGGCCATGGCAGCAGTGCAGGGCTTGGATTAATGGCCTTAGATGGCCTCTGGACTGTAGAGTTCAGCTCTGCACCCAACGTCAGTTACAAAGAGAAAGGGAGTTTACTTTTAGGCCCACCGTTGGTTTTGCTTTTGGTTTCTCTACTTGGCCTGCCTTTCTTCCTGGGTCCCTTCAAAATCGCAAATTGCTTACTTACTTCCAACTTCTCTTCTGTCAATGTCTCTTTTCACTTTTGTAATTTCTCTCTTTTTAAAAATTCCCCACTTTGGTCTGGTGCGTTGGCTAACGCCTCTAATCCCAGCACTTTGGGAGGCCGAGGTGGGTGGATCACCTGAGGTCGGGACCACCTGACTAACATGGAGAAACGCTGTCTCTACTAAAAATACAAAATTAGCTGGGCACCGTGGAGCATGCCTGTAATCCCAGCTACTTGGGAGGATGAGGCAGGAAAATTGCTTGAACCCAGGAGGCGGAGATTGCGCCATTACACTCCAGCCTGGGCAACAAAAGTGAAACTCCGTCTCAAAGTAAATAAATAAAATAAATAAATAAAAATTTCCCCCTTTCTTGGTATTTCCAGGCTCATTTTTGTTGCTCCTTTTCAGTTTTTCTCTACTCTGAGTTCCCATTTCTCTTCTCGTTCAGGGCACCTTCTCCAGATGCTGCTCATCCTTTTCCAAACGTAGCTTCTGCAGAGCAGAATCCCGAAGCCTAGGGAAAGCAAATGGTTTCAACTGAAAATTTCTTGTTACTAGGTATTTGGGGCAGGGAGGGGAATGGGGTCCTAAAAAGCGATGGGGAGTGATGGTTAATATTGAATGTCAATGTGATTGGATTAAAGGATGCAAAGTATTGTTCCTGGGTGTATCTGTGAGTGTTGCCAAAGTCAGTGGACTGGGAGAGGCAGATCCACGCTCAATCTGGGTGGGCACCAGCTAATCAGCTGCCAGTGTGGCTGGAATAAAGCAGGCAGAAGATGGAAAAGCAGACTTTCTGAGTCTTCTGGGCTTCATCTTTCTCATGCCCTGGATACTTCCTGCCCTTGAACATCAGACTCCAAGTTCTTCATCTTTTGGACTATTGGGTGTACACCAGTGGCTTGCCAGGGGCTCTTGGGCCTTTGGCCACAGGCTGAAAGCTGCACTATCAGCTTCCCTACTTTTGAGGTTTTGGGACTTGAACGGATCTACCACTGGCTTCCTTGCTCCTCAGTTTGCAGAAGACCTGTCTTGGGACTTTACCTTGTGATCGTGTGAGTCAATTCTCCTTAATAAGTTCCCCTTCATATATACATCTATCCTATCAGTTCTGTTCCTCTAGAGAACCCTGACAATACATAGGGCTACTCAATTTTGAATTTAAGTCTCTTTCATGGCCACATTTAATCCTGCATTTCCTTGGAAATGTGAAGAGAATTCCCCTGATTACTTTCTTTCTTTCCTTACCCATTGATGATGCCAGGCACTGTGCTGCCTGCAGTCCTTGGCTCTTGGCTCTTTCCATCTTCAAGTGAGCAATTGTCAATGGAGTCTTGCTCAGGCCACACTCTGACTCTGGCTTCTGCCATCATATCTCCTTCTCTGACTCTTCTTGAGGACCCTTGTGATTCTACTGGGCCCACTGGAATAATACAAGACAACCTTCTCAGGTCAAGATTCTTAATAGAATCACATCTGCCAAGTCCCTTTGACCATAGAAGTTACCATGTTCATGGGGATTAAGATGTGGTTATCTTTGGTGGAGGGGGCATTATTCTGCCTACCACAGAGCCCATGAAAATGTTTCAATTTCTTCCAAAACCAAAAGAAAAAATTGAACTTTGGGGTAGAATAAAAGGGTTTAATATAGAAGATCAGAATGTTTGCCTTTATATCAACAAAGGAAGATAGAATTTTTGATATTATGGAGGAAGGAAGGACCCCCCAGAGTAAAAACTGCCTGGGTTCCAATGAAGCCCACCAGCACATGCTTCCGCAAATGTGGCCGAAACAGCATTAACGATAAATTTATAATAAGAGTGTGGCAGTGGAGAGTACCCACATCAGAATCACAGGACCCAGGCCCCAGTTCTAGCACAGCCACTAGTAATTCATCTTGGACATGTTTTTATCAAGGAAACAATGGGTTGATGGAAAAACTAACTGATTTGCACCCTGTAGGAACACCATAGTGGTTACCATAAGGGACTTATAGCCAGACAGAATGGAATTCATATTCTGGCTCATTCAGTCACTACCTGAGTGATCTTGTAAGTTACTTACTTTACAAACAAGAATTTCCTCATATAGGATAATCTCTCTCTTATCTCATAGGATTATGGTGAAGAATAAGTGGAATAAGGTATACAAAGGGCTTATCACAGTGTTAGGTACATAGTAAGCACTTATTAAGTGTCTGCTATTCTTGCTACTATTTTCATTACTTTTATTATTTCTAGTGTTAGTCTCTTCTTGCACTTCCATAAAGAAATACCTGAGACAGGGTAATTTATAAAGGGGCGTAATTGACTCACAGTTTTGCAGCCTGTACAGAAAGCCTGGCAGCACGTCCTCTGCTTCCGGGGAGGCCTCAGGAAACAATCATGGCTGAAGGCAAAGCAGGAGCCAGCACTTCACATGACTGGGAGCAGGAGGAAGAGAACAAGGGGGAAGGTGCTACATACTTTCAAACAACCAGGTCTCATGAGAACTCACTCACTATACAGTACCAACAGGGGATGGTGCTAAACCATTCATGAGAACTCTGCTCCCATGATCCAATCACCTCCCACAGACTCTACCTCAAGCACCTGGGATTACATTTCAACATGAGATTGGGTGAGGACACAGATCCATATTATTGTTATTATAGTTACTATTATAATTATCAAATAATAATTATAGTTTTAATCCATATCGTTCAAACACATAATTTGCTTCAAGCAATTTTCAATATGAAAAACCAGAAATCAATGGGGATAAGAACTTATAAATTCTACATTTAGAAGCTGGGTCATTTGTCTCTAGTAATACGCTGGACCAAGAAAAGTAAGCTGTGCCCAGCCAATGGAATGTTAGCTCTTCTCACTCTTCAGTGAGTGATGCCTGAATAAAATAATTATATCAGACCGATTGACTGTCTAGTCCGAAAAACAAGAAATATAGCCATCTGTTTTTCAAAATACTAATTCTAGAATTTAGAGTTATGCTATCCAACATGGTAGCCACTGCTTATGTACAGCTACTTAAAGTTTAACTAATTGAAATTTACATTTACAATATCGGTCCTCTGTCATATTAGGTACATTTCAAGTACTAAAGAGCTGCATGTGGCTTGAAGTTACCATATTGAATGTGCAGATATAGAATGTTTCCATCACCACAGAAAGTTCTATGAGACAGTGCTTGTCTATTTTAGACTATCGCCCTAAATAACCCATGTAAATACATCTGATTATTATTTAATATGATCTAACTTATCAAAGGATAACTATACAACTTGGTAATTGGATGAATCATAGGTCTGAGAAACACCAAAAAGCTTCTATGAGCATTCATGGAGATCCACATCATGCATGTGTGAATTCCATGGGTATGGGTATACAACAAATACCTACCCTCTCAGGTAATTTAAAGAAAAACAAAACTAAAACAGTAAGCAAAGATGTCAAACTAAATGATTAACAAGAGATTAGATTATTAAATTTTTATTAGTCTTGGCTTTCAAATTTATTTTATTGCAACTCATAGAAAGAAACTTAGTTTATATGGTAACCCAGTATGAGCACACATAAACACAATTGAAACAAAGGTTTCACAAAGTAACAGTAGTCCTTACCACATGTAAATATTCTGATATTTTCTATTTCCTCCTCTTCCTCATCTTTCTTCACTTCTTTCTCCTTCTTTTGCTCCTTGTACTATTGTGTATTAGTCTGTTTTCACGCTGCTGATAAAGACATATCTGAGACTGGGCAATTTTCAAACAACAGAGGTTTAATGGAGAACTCATGGTTCCACATGGCTGGGGAAGCCTCGCAATCATGGCGGAAGGACAGGAGGAGCAAGTCACATCTTATGTGGATGGCAGCAGGCAAAAAGAGTGTTTATGCAGAGAAACTCCTGTGTTTTAAACGATCAGATCTCGTGAGACCCATTCACTATCACTAGAACAGCACAGGAAAAACCTGCCCGCATGATTCAACCATCTCCCACCAGGTCTCTCCCACAATATACGGGAATTATGGGAGCTACAAGATGAGATTTGGGTGGGGACACAGAGCCAAACCATATCATTCTGTCCCTGGCCCCTCCCAAATCTCAACTCTTCACATTTCAAAACCAATCATGCCTTCCCAACAGTCCCCCAAAGTCTCAACTCATTTCATCATTAACTCAAAAGTCCACTGTCCAAAGTCTTATCCAAGACAAGGCAAGTCCCTTCCATCTATGAGCCTGTAAAATCAAAAGCAAGTTAGTTTCTTCCTAGATATAATGGGGGTACAGTCACTGAGTAATACAGCCATTCCAAACGGGAGAAATTGGCCAAAACAAAGGGGCTACAGGCCCCATGCAAGTCTGAAATCCATCAGGGCAGTCAAATCTTAAAGCTCCAAAATGGTCTCCTTTGACTCCATGTCTCACATCCAGGTCATCCTGATGCAAGAGGTGGGTTCCCATGGTCTTGGGCAGCTCCGCCCCTGTGGCTTTGCAGGGTACAGCCTCCCTCCTGCTACCTTCACAGGCTGGCGTTGAGTGTCTGTGGCTTTTCCAGGCACAGAGTAGAACCCGTCAGCGGATCTACCATTCTGGGGTCTGGAGAATGGTGGCCCTCTTTTCACAGCCCCACTAGGTGGTGCCCCAGTAGGGACTCCAACTCCACATTTCCCTTCTGTACTGCTCTAGCAGAAGTTCTCCATGAAAGCCCCCCCGCCCCCACACCCTGGTAGCAAACTTCTCCTAGACATCCAGGCATTTCCATACATCCTCTGACATCTAGGTGGAGGTTCCCAAACCCCAGTTCTTGACTTCTGTGCACTCCCAGGCTCAGCACCACATGGAAGCTGCCAAGGCTTGGGGCACCCACTGAAGCTGTGACCTGAGCTCTACATTGGCCCCTTTCAGCCACAGCTGGAGAGGCTGGGATGCAGGGAACTAAGTCTCTAGACCACACACAGCACAAGGACCCTGGGCCCAGCCCAGGAAACCACTTTTTTCTCCTAGACCTCCAGGCTGTGATGGGAGAGGCTGCTGTGAAGACCTCTGACATGCCATGGAGACATTTTCCCCATTGTCTTCTGGATTAACATTTGGCTCCTCATTACTTACGCAAATTTCTGCAGCCGGCTTGAATTTCTCCTTGGAAAACGGGATTTTCTTTTCTACTTTTACACTCCGCTTCCCTTATAAAACTGAATGCCTTTAATGGCACCCAAGTCATCTATTGAATGCTTTGCTGCTTAGAAGTTTCTTCTGTCATGTACTCTAAATCATCTCTCTCAATTTCAAAGTTCCACAAATCTCTTCGGCAGGGACAAAGTGCTGCCAGTCTCTTTGCTAAAACATAGCAAGAGTCACCTTTGCACCAGTTCCCAACAAGTTCTTCTTCTCCACCTGAGACCACCTCAGCTTGGATTTCATTGTCTATATTATTATCAGCATTTTGGTCAAAGTCATCCAACAAGTCTCTAGGGAGTTCCAAACTTTCCTGCATTTTCCCATCTTCTTCTGAGTCCTCCAAACTGTTCCAACCTCTGCCTGTTACCTTTCAAAGTTGCTTACACATTTTGGGGTATCTTTTCAGCAGTGCCCGACTCTAGTGGTACCAATTTACTGTATTCATTTTTTTTCATGCTGCTGATAAAGACATACCTGAGACTGGGCAATTTGCAAACGATAGAGGTTTAATGGAGAGCTCACAGTTTCATGTGGCTGGTGAGGCCTCACAATCATGGTAGACAGCAAGGAGGAGCAAGTCACATCTTACGTGGATGGCAGCAGGCAAAAAGAGGGCTTGTGAGGAGAAACTCCCATTTTAAAAGTCATCAGATCTCATGAGACCCATTCACTATCACTAGAACAGCATGGGAAAGACCCACCCCCGTGATTCAACCATCTCCCACCAGGTCTCTCCCACAATATATGGGAATTATGGGAACTACGAGATGAGATTTGGTTAGGGACACAGCCAAACCATATCATTCTGTCCCTTTCACAACACGTGGGAATTATGGGAACTATAAGATGAGATTTGGGTGGGGACACAGAGCCAAACCATATCATACTGGTTATCCAAGGCACTGATTTAATGACTCCCACAGTGGGATGACCTGTAGTTTGAAAAACACTGATCTAGACTGGGGGTTGTAAACTCGAATGCTGAAAGTGGCTGGATGAGTGAGTGGAGAGGGCTGTGTGGAGACTATGAGCAAACAGAGCATATGACCCTTTGAAAGGGCACAACAGCTGTTCAGCTCTAATCAATCTTTTCTATGATGGAATATACTTAGAACTGTTGCTGGAACTTCTGATTGTTTAAGAGAAGTCATATATCCAGGCATTTTTGTGAAACTTCCCAATTTAGAAGTGTGGCAAATAATTCTTCAAAATCTCAAATACTTGCCAGCCAAACAAAACAAGTCTCTTAAATGGTATTGGTCTGATTAAAGATTAATTTTCTAGTTCCAGGGGTAAAACTGGAAGCAGATTCTTTTTCCTCTAAATGAGAATGTGGAATCTCCCAAAACTGATATGGTACAATCCTTCTGTTCTTACATGACCCAGTGGGGAAGGAAGGAAGGATCCTCTGCTGAAGAAATGAGTTGAAAATGACCAGGTCTCCTTGAATGAGGCTGTGTTGGGTGTCCACTAACTCCCAAGAACAGAAGGAATCAGTCATTCCATCAGCACAGAGTCCCCAACTTATCCTTGCCTAGTCAAAGTGAAAGAAGTTCCATTAGCTAGTCTCAGCCCAAGCTGTCCCTCAGTAATGACTACAGCGTCCTTTGTCTTTGAAAGCTCAGTTAGTTCTTACTTGTACATATAACTGGCTAGGCATCCAGGAGCTGGGCTGCCAAGGCACAAAAGCCTATCAATTATCTAAAAACATCTACAATTAAAACATACTTAAATTTCAAACATAAATCCTACTACTGTATCATTGAAATGTTGCATCAGGCAGCTTTATATTTAAATATCTGGGTTTTACCTATTAGGTTAAGCCATGTAAAATCACCAATATACAAACATTTTTAAAATAAACTTTTAATTTTGGAATAATTTTAGATGTTTGGAATTCATAGAAAATTTGCCAAAATTATAGAGAGAATTCCTATACATCTTTTACCTCATTTCCCCTGATGTTAGCATGTTATACAATGGTCTCAGTTCATTTTGTATTGCTATAAAAGAACACATGAAGCTGGATAATTGATAAACAATAGAAGTCTATTTTGTTAATGGTTGTGAAGGATGGAAAGTCTAAGACATGGGGCCAGCATCTGGTGAGGGCTTTCATGCAGTGTCATCACATGGCTGAAGGTAGAAGGGCAAGGGAGCATAAGAGTCAGAGTGCAAGAGCAGGAGGGGTCTGAACTCAGTTTTGTTGTTGTTGTTGTTTGTTTGTTTTGAGGGAGGGTTTTTCTCTGTTGCCCAG